CCTGGCTCGGGTGGGAAGAGCCTCCCGGCGGCTGAAGCGCTCCGGGAACAGCACGGGCCACCTGGAGAAGAGCCTCTTCTTTACGACGACTTCCTCTCCGAGATGCCGTGGTTCCGAGAAACCTATTGGAGATTTTCAAGTGTTTCCTCCAGGGTGAGGAGAGGCCGCGTCTCCCCCCTGAACACCCGGGAGGCCGTGCGCCCCTCCACCAACTCTCACATCCAAGTACCAAACCTTCTACCCAGCTTGTGCTTTTGTGGCCGGAACTGGGCATCACTTGGGCGCTGCAGGGTCGGAGAGTCCTGCTCCGTGATGACGAAATTGTAAGTGCGCGCAGGCATGTGAAATAAGCCTGATATTCTGTAAATAAAGAAAACGCTTAAATGAAGGAATTCTGTTTCAAGGACAGAAAAAAACACGCTCATTTGCTCATTCTATAAATTAATGCTGAATGCTTTTTAGGTGGCAGGCTAGTGATTAGGGCCATCTTACAGCAGTCATACTTTGCAAATAAGAACAAAAGATTGACAACAGCTGAAAGGTTTTCCAAAGTGTAGAAAACACTTAATTGGTGTCTCCCTAAATGGTTTGCAGCTGTGGTATCTGCCTTGTAAACCATTGGTTAAACTACATTTCAGTTACGCTGTGTAGAAAAACAACACTTCTGTACGCCTTGAATATTCTATAACTGAAGAGTTTAGGAATTTATTTACTGCTAAAAAGTCCCAGAAATCTCCAATTTAAGCGGTTTAAGCAATTTACAGCTTGGGGAGTAAACGTCTGTTCTGAGGTTACAGAACTTTTTTTCTAAGTAGCAGATAAATTGTTTATGTTCTTTGTTTCCCTTCTGGTAAAATGGGAATAAACATGTCAATATATAAACACATACTTGGGTTTTTTTTTAATTTGGTAAGCGTGTGGGAGTCCTTTAGGAGGGAGACCATCATTACAGAGTTTCATAGGAATTCTCAATACATCCTTTCAAAGGGAAGGGGATACCGTGCCGGACTGTTCATGCTGTTGTGTTCTTCAACACCTTCTACTGCCTGGTAACATGGCAACTTCTCTCTCCTCCCTTGTTACTTGGAAATGAAAATATTTACTTTCCAGCAATTTTCATTTTGTGAAAGATCATAAACTACTGAAAATGTTGGTCCATTTAATAGAACAAAACACACCTTTGCGATTAAACAATTGAGAAAATGTCGTATAAACAGGTGCAAAATGTCAATTTATAATAATTACCCTCAAATCTAAACATATTTATGAACATGTGAAATAAACATGTTAATAGTTAAATCCAAAATTAAGTGAGAAAAAGGCAACCAATACTCAAAAATCAACCTCATTGTTTCCTTGGAAACGAATGCCTTTCCAGAAGTCTCCACTCAAGAAGTTACCATCCCTGTTGTCACAAAAGCTTGGTTTAAGGTCACCTCCGCCCCTCCCTCTCACCCCTGGGTGGCTCAGCTGCCCCAGACCAGGCCTAGCGTGACTCACTCAGCACGGCCAGCTGTTGGGGGTCCTGTGCATACCATCACTCCAGGGCCAACGTGGGCCTGGCCGTTTCCACACTTACCTTCGTGCATCAGCGATAGACACGTGGTGCAGACCTCTCCCTCTTGTGAGGATCAGGTTTCCCGCCGCGTCTCTTCACTGTCATCTTCTCGGTCAGCACCTGGCCTCCCACCACCCCATTCATCATCCCGGCACCCTTAACACCTGCGAGAGGGCTCTCTCGATGCCTGGCCTCTAGTGGCTACCTTAACTCTGACTGTCTTCTCTCCCGTTGGGCTCAACTCTGGAAGCGTGTGCTTATGCCTCAGAGGTCATCATCACCAGTGCCGGCCCCTCCCGAGCATGCAGTTTCCTCCCTGACGCAGCACCTCCTCTCCTCACCACGCCTGGAACCCTCTGATCTCATCAAGTCTTCTGATCCCACCTCTTCACCAGCCACCTCCTCAAGTCCATTTCCCTTCTTGTCTGGCGCAGAGTTCATGGTTCAACACCACCACCACAGCCTTGCGAGCACCTTAGTGCCCCGCTGCATTCACCTGGGATAACCTCAGCTCTGTCGAGTTCATGCAGCTGGGCTGACTGGACTCCGTTCTGATTTACGTCACACGTCTCAGGTTACCGTTCCACTCACGCATCCATCACACCTTCCGAGTCACAGGCTTTCCCCAAGATCGCTGATTCCCATTTCCTTCCACAAATCTGTCCTCCCCAGCCCCCTCGCCGTGCTCTGCACACACAGGTGCTCTGGCACTGACGCTGCCAGCCTGCTTGCATCCGACTCCCACGTGTGTCCTGCTGTCTGTCCTGATACGCTTGTCAAGCCCTTTCTCGACCCCAGGTCACACCACTGCCCGCATTTCTCTGTCCATCTTACAGCAGTTGTTCTGAGTTGTCCTCATTCTCTGGCTCCAAAGCCACTTTCCTTTCTCTGCCCAACCCATGCAAATTGGGCGTTTGTCCCCACACTTCACTGCAACCGCTTCTAACAAACTTGAAATGACAGAATTACTGTTGCCAGAGTCAGTTTCCTTTATCTTGTTATATTTGTTTGTCACTGGACATAGCTATCACTCCCTTATCCCTTGTTTCTCTTCATTCATGTTTGTATAGTGTATCTTTTTCCATCTTTTCCAACCTGTCTGCACCCTTATATTTAAAACGTGTCTCTTGTAACACATGGTTGGGTCTTATTTCTTATCGTGTTGTAATCATCAATGTAGCATCATTACTCACATAATTGGGTTGAAGTCCCACCATCCTGTTGCTTGTTTTCTATTTTTCCAGCTGTTCCTCATTCCTTTATCTGCCTTTCTTTGAATTAATCAAGTATTTTATTATCATTTTTTATCTTTCATTAGCTTTTAAAACAAACTTTTATTTTGGAATAATTTCAGATTTATGAAAAAGTTACGAATAGCACAAAGAACTCTATTTACCCTTCACTCAGGTCAGTAAAAAGGTCAACGTTTTCACACACTTGCTTTATCACTGTGTCTTTTCTGACTGCTAGGCTGCAGACATCAGGACCCTCTGTCCCACGTATCTCATTTCCTAGGAACTAGGGTGTGCACTTACGCAGCCGTGGTGCCATTACCCACGCTAGGGAGCCTCACAGATGGAGGCCACTCACCCCACACACACTCACCAGCTGTCCCCATGGTGCTCCTAGATCACTCTCTCTGGACCAGGATCTGAACCAGGGTCAGGTGTTGCATTTAACCCGGAGCAGCTCCTCTGACATTCTGTCTGAGCTGGACGGTTTTCACCAGTTCAGGCCAGTGATTCTGTGGGACGTTCCTCACTGTCAGGTTCGGGTTAGACATTTTGGCAGGAACATCCGCTGAGGAACCTTGCGCACCACACCGGGAGGAACGCGACTTGGTTTGTCCTGTTATGGTCATGTTAACTTTGGTCCCTGGGCTAGGTGCTGTGCGCCAAGTTTCTCCCATGTGAAGTTAGTACAGCCCTCGTGTAATTAGTCAGTACTTTGCAGGGAAGCACTTCGAGGCTGTGCAAATGCACTGCTCCCGTGAGACTTCCCTCCACTGGCTTTGGATGACTCTTGGCTGCATCAACTACTATTGTGGTGCTTGCACAATGCTGACTTTCTGACTCCATTATTCTACATTTACTTATTAGCTGTTCTATTAGCTTAGAAATTATATATTCTTTTTAACCTCCAGTGCTTACTCAAGACTCCAAAATGTATCCTTGACTCATCAGCTGGCCACCAGCTGACCGGCGTGACCACCTGGCTGCGGTCCAGTCTCTGGGTTAGCATTGTTATATATTTTATTCCTACGTATGTTAAGCCCCACAAGGCATCATTATTTGACTGACTGATTTTTAAGCCTATAGTGCCCAGTGTTCCCAGGCAGTGCCACACCCAAGCACTGCCAGGCCCAACCCCACCAGTCGCCTTGACCAGACGAGCCTGGGCGCGTGCGGGGAAGCCTGGCTTGTCTCTGCCACTGTTCTTTTAT